TGAAGAAATTATCAAATAAATATTAGAAAATTTTCTAAAAGGAATGAGCTTCTAGATCAAAATGCCCCACCAAAGGTACAGCATATGTGCTAAAACCTCAGAATATATCACCATATTTTGTAGTATCAGAAATAAAGAGAAAATATTAAAAAGCTTCCAGGAGGATGGAGAAGAATGAAAATGAGTTGTATTAAAGGGTTAGAAATAAGAATCACCAGCAGTGGAAATTAGAAGACAATGTGCCATGTCTTCAAAGGACTGAGGGAAATTATATTTCACCTTGATTTATATACTCAGCCAAACTATCAATCAATAGTGAAGACAGATAATGACTTTTCAGACATGCAAAATTTTTGAGAAAATTTACCTCTTATGTTCTTTTCTCAGAAGCAACTACAGGATGTACTCCATAAAAATGACAGAATAAGCCAAGATAATGGGAGTCCTGAGAGTCATGAAGTACAGATCCAGTACAGAAGAGAGAGAACAGGTATTTCCAGGATGATGAAAATGGAGATTCCAGCATAATAGTTGTACAACAGTTTTAAAGAGAGTAAGTTTAGATGGGAACAGAACAGAGTCTCAAGAAAAACAAATAACATTAATAAGGAATCTAACAGATTTTACCATTTATAAAATTGTTTTCAAGGTATTTTACAGCCCTATCAGAAAGTGTGGGCTAACTTAGAAACTCAAATTAAGGTAAGCTTATTTTGTGTGTAAGATAAGTTTTGCTGATCTATGTGGTATAGTGTGGTTATAATTCATATCACAAACAAACTTTTGATTTTTACAGGATCATCACTGAATGATATTTAGATAGATCCTATGTTTAAAAATACCAAACATGATTTAACTAAAATTGTGATGTAATCATACTGAGGGTTTGAAAGAGGATAAGAAAATAAAAAAGGGCTAACAGTCATCCTCAACTATAATAGGGATGCAACAAATGTCCAAAACTGATTGATAATACATATCAATAGCAGTATAGTATTTTAAAACATATAGATAAATACCAGAATAAAGAGCTAAAAGACATAAAAGTTGAGGCTTCTGATGTAGGATAGAGGGAAATCTAGGGACAGCTGTTGTTGATATAAAACATCTAGCATGTCTTAACTTCACTATGTTTATGCATAACTTTGTTTTACTTTTTAAAGAAGCAAAAAAATAAATTAAGAGTGGTTGTAAACACTGCCATTGACAATGTAGCCTATGTATAGAATTTCAATTTCATTAAATGTTATTGAGCAAGAGAGTAATACAGCCGTCTTGTTAATACCATTTGCTTACTCATTTATTATCTGTCTACCTCACGAGAATTTAAACCCCAGAAGGGCAGAAACAAGTGATGTGCTAAATATTTAACAATAGCACTATACATTTGCCAATATTTGTCATGTAAATACTCCAACCATGCCTGATTTCAAGCTACCAAAATGATGTCACTGAACACAGAGTTCATAAAAGATTCACTCAGTTGGCTTTTATGAACTGGTTCCAATACACCACTGACAGAAAGCTTTCTTGTCTGGTCTCCCATTCTCTCTGTAGTTCACCAAGTGCCTATCCCATGGCAGATGCTTAATAAATAACTGTTTATCTGTCCAGGGATAGACACACATTGAATGAATGATATAATCTGATCTGAGAAAACACCATTTAAAATTCTAAAAGCAAAATAATTTGAAAGTTGGGAATATTGAAAGACCCTCTCCTGGTAATCAGAAAACTTCAAGAGTGTAGGAAGCTGAAGTCAGATTATAATTTACATACTAGGTCACCATCAACCAAGGTCACTCTGGCCTCAAAGGAGAAACACTGGAAAAGAAGGCAGCTGTAGGCTAGGCATTCTTCTAGTCTCTTTATGCATGTTACTTTGTTTAACCTTCACAATAACTCTAGAAGATATAGTTCCTCCTTTTACATATGGGGAAACTGAAAATCATAAATTTCAAGCAATGTGCATATGCCAATATAAGAATGAAAGCTGGGATTTATGCTTTTTATTTTTAACTGGTACATAAAATATATGAATTATACATACTAATTGGATATCGTGATATTTTGATACATGTATACATTGTATAATGCTTAAATCAGGTTAAATATACCTACCTCTTCAATTATCTATCATTTCTTTTCTTCTTTTCTTTTTTAAATTTTTTCATTATTCATTTTTTCACATGTGCATACATTGTTTGGGTCATTTCTCCCCCCTGACCCCCCCCCCACCCACCCTCGCTTCCAGGCAGAACCTGTTCTGCCTTTATCTCTAATTTTGTTGAAGAGAAGACATAAGCATAATAAGAAAGACAAAGCATTTATGCTAGTTGAGTTAAGGATAGCTGTACAGAGAGATTCCTAGCATTGCTTCCATGTACAAATATGTTACAACCCAAGCTGATCATCTCTAACTGATCTTTACACTGGTTCCTGATCCCCTTCTCGTGTTAACCTCTGTCGCTTTAAGGTTTCTGTATTAGTTCCTCTGGAGTGGGGACATCAAACACTTTCATGTTTTGGGTTTTCTACCTATCCCCCATACCTCTTGTATGTGCTCTCCCCTTGTCATGTGACCCAAGTCCAACAACACTGCTGTATTTGTGCTAGATCTAACGTCCGCATATGAGGGAGAACATACGATTTTTGGTCTTCTGAGCCTGGCTAACCTCTCTCAGTATCATTTCTTTCCCTAATGGTGAAAACATTAAAATCCTTTCCTCTAGCTCTTTATTAGCTATAGTCACCATACCATGCAATAGCAGACCAGAATATCTTACTCTTATCTTACTGTAACTTTGATCAGTGTTTCACAGAGAGCTGGGATTTAAACCCAAGTTTGCCTAATTCCTTGTCATAGGTTCTTCCTGCTATATCAGATGCCTTCAAAAATACCTGTTAGCAGAGTAATTTAGAAAAATGGGGAGTTTGTTTATCAGAAACATGAAGATAATTATTTCACCATCTATCATTCTTTGATTATGAAGGTCTAGCCTAGGCACCTGCAAAGTTGGGGGAGAAATGCATCCCCATAAGCTTTTTAAAAAATAAGCTCTGGATTCTTTGTTGCAGCTCTATTTCCTTGTCTAAAGCAGAGTGCAGGCTGCCTAGCAACCAAGCTAATGGTGTCTTTTTTGCCTTAATTACTTTATGTTTTCCACAAGCTCAAAGGGACTGAATCAAATATCAAGAGTGCAAGGTCTGAGTTTTTTATATCAATATATCTGTTCATACAATTGCACAATACACAGACACACTTCTTTTTCCTTCAATTCTATGATTAAAGTAGAAAGGTGACTTAGACTATATTTATATGGTGAAAAATTATTGGCTAAAAGTACAAAAATTCACCACCTGATTACTAACCTATAAATACAACACCAAACAATTGGCTTGAGTAATCATTCTTAGCAATTTAAGGGATTCTTGTAATTCTTGACTAAATTGACTAATTGTCAATTGACAGTTATGTGTGTGTATCTCCCAAAACAGAGATTTTCTATAGACATATGAATAGTAATAAAGTTCAAATCCAGCAATTTCTGCTAGTCACTTTCTTACTAGAACAATAATTAGTAAAATCTTTGCTATCAAGAATGGACTGAGTATGTAAACCTAAATTTCATCTGAATCACTTATTCAGAGAGAGAGAAGCAGCCCACAAGATGAAAAAAATAAAGGGTGGATAAAAAACAAGAATATCATAAAGAATGTGAATATTAGACACAACCTATCTGCCTATCTGACTTGTTCTTCCTTGCTAACAGAATTTCATTTTTGTTCACACTCTTCTGGCAGCTATAGACTTAATCATGGTAATCTCTTTCCTCTTTCCAAATTATTGATTTAGACATGAATATGGGACACAACTGTGACCAAGACATTGTGGGGAGAAGCCTGCTTGGGAGAACTTCTGGGAAACACATGAGAAGAACATTCCTATTTTCACCTCTGGATATTTCCACTTGTATGTTATGTCAAGAATTGTGGCAACCATTCTGGGACCATAAGAGGAACCAGCTAACAAGGAAAAACTAGCATGATATGGCTTGTAAAGTGTAATGATGAAAAGAATCTAGTCTATCAATGACACGCCTCACTCTTTTTTTCTTCCTCTGGGCTCAAGTGGCTATGATTTGAGCCCCTAATATGTCTAGACACACGTGCATCTATACATGTATAAGTATTATTTCTCCTATATTAGATGGGAGGCCTTCTTTCTCAACCCAAATGGTTCCTCTTATATAAAGATAGCTCTACCAGCAAATTATTCCTGGCCTCTATTCTCCCACTTACTTGTTCCTTCCCACAAAGGAGGAATGACTTTAATCTGACTGGTTAGTTTAAAAGAAGCACTAAGTATATGTACTTCAGTCCATCCTATCTTCTTGCTTTTGGGAGTAGACTACCTACAAGAAGTATGTTTCTTTGCTAATGCTCCACCGAGCTGCACATGTTCAAAAAAAAACACACCTTTTTGGGGGCAGGACTCCAGTGGTCCAACAGTGCTAATAGGATAAATCTCTTTAATTCTTAGGTCCCGTATTAGGAAGCTCAAATATCTACAAACCGAATATATCTACAATCCTCCAATACTAGCATTATCAGTAATAAAGGTAATATTTTCATATATATCAACTCTCTTGTCTTAGTGTTGAATTGGTTCAGAACTTGGGTCACAAATAAAACTTGGATTTTATTAGGCCCCCTTCAATAGCACCAGCATATATTAAAGTTTTATTTCTCTGTTCTTAAATATATTTTATTTATTCTGCATGATTATATGCTGTCATTGTGGGCTGCTTGAAGATAAAAAAAAATTCCAACAATGTATTTTTGTTCTACTAGTGTTTTCTGAAAATGAAAGGCTTTGAACGTGGTCACCTTTACTGACAGTTTCTCATGGACTAGACGAATAAATAAATAGAAAAAACCACTATTTTCTTGATTTTTGAGGTTCTAAGCTCATAATAACTTGTGAAGTCTGCACTTACTTGATCTGACTCTGGCTTCTCAGGAATTTCACCGCTAGCTGCTGCTTCCATATAAGCTTGATAGAAGGTCTTTTCTTGAGACTCTACTGTAATGGTCAAGACAGCATCATAGGCTTCCCGTAGCTTTGGGTTGTTCCTCAGGACCTGATAGGGGGTATGCTTATAAGGTAAACTGTACAGCAGGGCATCATAGGGAACAAACACATAAGTTCCATCGGTCATTTTCAGATCATGAGCCCATTCCAAGAGGCGCATCTGGGTCTCTCCCCCAATCAAAGCTGAATGCATACACATGATGATTACTGAAATCAAGAAAACAAGGAGGTTATGGCAGTGACATGGTAGTGAAATGTAGTGCCAAAAACTATAGATGGGAGAAATTTAAAAAATGAATGTGTTCTAAACATTTTGTAAATGATTTCTTTCCTCTGCCTATAAGATGAGCAAGTAATTGAGGTCCTCAACTAAGGCTGAAGTAAGCACAGGGGCTCTAGACTGGGCTTCCAGGCAAGACAGACTTGCCTGTGAGATACATAGCTTAATACTGGACAGGAACAGGAACTAGTAAAATATGTAGGAGGGAGCATAACAAAGAGGCTCTGGAGCAGAAGGGTTAAATTTATATTCTAACACCACTAGTTATTAGCTGTACACTGTTGCATAAATTACTTAACCTCTCTCTGCTTCAGCCATAAAACAGAGAGGTAACAATATGTACTTCAGGGAGAGGTAGTGATGATTCAAGGAGACAATTCATATAATGGGCTTAGTGCATAGCACTCAATAAACAGTAGCTACTCTCATACCTAAGAATAAGAAGGCTTAGAAGGAGAGGGTGGGAAATATTCCCATAGCCACTGTCACTTTTTATTGTCCACCTCCTACAAACATGTACTCCAATACATTTTGACCAACTGTTCTCACTCTTACCAAGGCCATTATAGACAATGAATGGCACTAACACTTACTCATCTATAAATGCTACTAATATTATGGGTGGTATGTTCAACTTTTAAAATCTGACTTTCTGTAATTGGAATTACTTTGTACTCAATTTAATTCTTCCTAGACTTATGAAGCTATGTTGTTTGGCAAGGATATGCTAGAATAGAGTGGATTAGAGGGGGCCATGGTTGAAGGGTGGCAGCTAGATCATGAGACTGAAAGTCTTATATCCAATTTCGTCCTTGGCATCCTAAATGAGTTTAGTTTAAGCCCACTTGTGCTTCAGTGCCCACATCTTTAAAATGTAGATTCCAATGAATTTCACAGGTACATTGAGTAGTTTAATTAGATAATGCCTGGCAAGTATTCTGAGTCCCCTGAAGAAAGGCAAAAGTCCTATTGCCATTGGTAAATATTAATTATACATGCTTACACGGAACCTTTAATCTCAAGAACTAAGTGTGCTTAACTACGTTCAATGACTGGTCTTTGGCATTTACATATTGCTTCACCCATTTTCAAAAAACCATCTTTATACTTGTTAAGTACTCCCAGAAAATTTCCCTTTTGAGCTACAGCTGGTATCCTTCATTTTTAAAATATGTCTAGTAAGTTATGAAGTTGATTTAAATGCACACCACATATACAACACACCATAACTTAAAGTTTTAAATGACCATTAGCTCCTTCAAAATAATTACCTTAAGAGGGTCTATGTTTGTTCTAACACTTAGACTTTCCTTAGTCTTCTGTAAAGATATCTTTGGAGCTAGTTCATGAGCCACACAGGAATTCAGACTCCATTGCTGATAATCACATATTGTAAAATGGGAAGATGTAGTGCCAGAAAATTTTGGATTTTTCAGGCAAGAGTTGGATTTAGAAGGCATCACCCTCTCTATATTTGGCTACACCATTAAACATGAATCACTTTGGTCAAATTAGTCCAGTCATAATTCTGTTGAGGGGGAAAATGATTTAAGCCATGTGCTTTAGTTAGTTGGCCAGTTCATCCAACAGTATTCTTAGCAAGAAAGTAAGTATTAATATCTTTTTTCTACAAAGGCAGAGATCAAATGACTTGATCAAGGTTACCTAATACAATTCCATTTAATTTCCTTAAGGGATATTAAAATGACTTTGCTGCATGGAAAATGTTAAATAGAGCTAAGTCCTTTGTGTTGGTTAAAATACAGCAAATACTTTAGTGTGTATAGAGGGTGCTATTATGATGTACATCCAGATACACACTTCAGGACTGAAACACTCATTCCCTGGGCTGCTGGGAATGTTAGCAACTAATAGCTAATACCTCACTGAGAATTACCATCAGTTGAGGAGAGCTGCCTCTCCCAAGGTCACATGCCTTCAGCTGTATGTTGGAGCTGGCTTATGCCGGTTCACAAGAGTCTTTGATTAAATTTCAGGGATTCTGTGAGCCAGTCAGTATCATGTTAGTAACTTGAAATTGGTCATGGTGGGAGAGATTACACTATGGAAATCCGCAAACACTACAAATCAAAGTTTCCCACCCCACCTGGCCCCCACAGAGAGATGGCTGTTAAGCAATTATTAGCACACTCTACTACTTTCACTGGGTTAGTTTGCACCTAATAACTGATCTACATGGATCTAAAAAGGCCCAGACTCCTTATGTCAATTCTGGACAATATTGAAGGGTCATCCCAGCTCCAGAGTTTCCCTTCAGGATTAGATGACGCCTTCATTGTGACTGCATTGCAGTTCAATTCTCTCTTCCCAATCCTACTACTGTCTCTTCCTCATAGATGTTATCTTTGAAAATTCTTATCCAATAAGCTTCCAAACCTCATTGGACAGATTTTTTTCCAGGAAAAATGACTTGTTACACTGGACTAGAGCCCCCAACATAATGTGAACTGACATCTATTATGGAACCTGTAAGATTTATTGCCCTTATATATGTAAGTCAGCTGTACTAAACTATGAGTTTCTTGAAGTGTCCTATTTATTTCTGTATCCTGGAACATGTATGCACACAACAAATGCTGTTTAGATGAATGTTTGTATGCTTACATATTTTTTAGGAGGAGAAAGTGTGTACTTGTGTATTTTTCATGGGTTCTTTCAGATGTGACACATGGGCATATTCAGATTGTTAAGATGGAGGAACAATTGGAAGTGATACTCCTGAGCAGGTAGATACTATCAAACTTGTCTTTAAAGCCTAGTGTCATTAACTTGCCCAAGATTGTACCCTTTAACCTGAATATCTTCTCTTTATTTTTCTTTCATTGGCTTGCACTGATGTCATTTTAGATAAAGGGTCCATTTTTTTTATAACTAGAAAGACCCTTTGAGGCCATCTAGCCCAATCTTTCCCTGTCAATTTTTAGATGAAGAAATGGAATCCTCAAAAGGGAATGATCACAGGCTTCTCTATTTTTCATATGGCAAGGCCTTGCCATTGAACATAATTAAAGTAGAAAGCATAAATACTGAATTCAAACAACAGCATCTTAATTTAATAGATTGAGTGCTTCGTGAACAGGGATTTATGGATGCATCTGTTCTACAAGATGGGTTTACTAAATAGCTTTATTATCTCAAAATTACATTCATTAAAATGGGATTTGACCTGTAAGTTGTTGTCCGGAAAGGATTAATATACAGAAACCTTAAATCCTAGACAAGGCTTGGGTCCACAGGTGGTCACCAAATAATACTAATTTGTAAGTTTCCATCCTGATTGTTAACAGTGAAGCCATTCTACAGCCAAAACAAGGACCAGGAAATACACTCTCCTAAGATCACATCTCACCAGGATATGATATTAATAATTTCTCTGGGCTACTTGAACCTCACTTAAGCTGTCTGCCAGCTATGTCTTCATACAGAGGGACTGACTATTGGCAGGCTATCTAGGACCCTCTCTCACCTTCAATACTACTAATAAGAAATATCATAAAATCCAGAAGAGACAGTTCCCAAGTCACTCAACTCTCATTTTTCATCCTGTTTTGAAGTACTCTATTTAATATTTCAGTATTTCCTTGAGTTAGAGGATCTGTGTTCCTCAAAAGGCAAATCTCACTTCATCTCTCACAGATTTTTGTAGAAGAAACTAAGCCTAGTCTCATACCACATGAGATGGAAATGGTTCCACTGACCAGTGCCAAAGAAGTACTTAGGAACCGTAATCATATTTGTAAGCCCTCAGTGCTGCTACCAGTGTGCAAGAACCCCCTTCCCCCCATTTTATTGTTCTCACCTTATTTTTAACACTTTTGACATTTCCTCCTACTAACATCCATTTTAACCTATTTCATTTTAACAATTAGTGAGGGGAGAGCAGATCAGAAGAGGAGGGGGTCATATAGATTTATCTCAAGTCTCACATTCCCCCAGAATTCACCTCCATCTAGCTATACTGTGAAAGAAGTAGGTTCATACACTCGACTTCTCAGTTTTCTCCCACCCAGTCTATAAAATGGCTATGTAAGAAGAGAGTGTGAGGCTCTGGAATCTGAATGCTTTCCAGTCCCTGCCCCCAAGTGTGATTCAGGACACACTAAGAACACTGTACTAGTTGATGTAGGGCTATGTCTGTCAGTTGAGGAAATCCCACATATTTTCAGTCTTAAGTCTTGAGCCACCATTTACTTAACTTCTGCCAGTATTGAACTGGTCCAAGTAGCTCAGAATGATAACAGACACACAGTACATGAGATGACTACTCTGTCTGTATCAGGTCATGGTTTTTTTTCATACCTAACTAAACTAGTATTGCAAATGCATTTATTGCTTTAACATTGCTGCCCAGCATAAGTTTTAAATATTTCCCCACATTTTGTAACATATGTTCTTCTCCATTTTTCTCCTAAGTTGCTATATTGATAGGCCTCTTAAATGCAGGAAACTAGATGTTGTTTTAGAAATTTCCCCTTTTTGCTGGTTCCCAATAATTTGATCATTAATGATAGTGAACCCGTTCACAAAAGCAAATTATTCTTTTATCATTTGTATTTATTTATGTTTGTCTATAGCAAATACTATACCTAATTCCCCATCAGCACTAAGGACTTTGGCCATAGTATTTTTAGTATCAATTACTGCAGGAAAAAAGGGCCAACATCTAACATATCTGAGACACTTAACATAATTTCATCAGTAGGCACAAATATTAAGAATGAAAGCCAGAAAGGATGAATAATATGTCATACACGTAATGCAGGATCACAAATGAGTATACTTTAGCAGCATAGCTCAAATGGACAGGAGGCAGGAAAGGATAGGTCTTTCAACATACCAGTTATCAAAGTATGAACCCTAGGTCAGTAGCATTGGTACCACTTGGGAACTTGTTAAAAAAGCAAATTCTGAGGCTCACCCCAGCCTTCTAGAATCAGAAATTCTGGAAGAGGGACTCAGCAATCAGTATTTTAAGAACCTATTCAGGGTATTCTAATACATACTTAGATTTGAGATCTCCTGCCTTAGACCAACCTGAATGTATATCCTGGCTTTCCCCTCACTAACTATGACATTAGGCATGTTATTTAACTTGAAAGCCTCAGAAGTCTTATCCATAAAACTGGCAAACAGTTTTTTATAGGGGCATTGCCAGAATTGAATGAATGATCCATACAAAGCCACTGCAAAATGACTAGTACATAATAAACTCTCAATAAATATTAGCTATTATCATTGTTGTTTTGTTCTTCTTATTTTATGTACAAGAATCTTTGCTAGATGAAAAGAAGCTAGCCAGGTCCCTGGCAAAAAAGACAGCAATAAGGCATCTAATTTTGGAAGAACAAGAGAAGGCCATTCTGACTGGGTCATATTGTAATGAAGCATTCCCAATTTGGAAGGATTTAAAGGAAGCCCAAAATGGTCCAACAGCCTGGGAAGCTCAAAGTGAAAGGATTTCACAATCAGCCCAGCATAGGGCTGATAGGCAAAAAGGTGAGGAGAAGACAGAAGGGATTGAAATAGCCTTTGAAAAGTTCTCTAAAGAGCTGGAGGTAGGGCCTCCTGCTAGTCTTTGTAGGAATAAGAAAAGGAACCCCTCCTGGGTGAATGCAGTCCCACAGGTGTTCCGCTTGGGGAGTGAATGCTCCTTTGTGCCATGGGACAAAAACCTCCAGCAGGGCTCATGGTTGGAGGAGCACAGAGTGGAAGGGAATTTGGCCCTTATGCCCACTCGGCTAGGTTCCCTTGTGCAAGGCACAACCTACATAATCCCACACAGTCGCCCTGACTGTAAGTTGAGTCCTTTGTCTTTGATTAATATCTTTCCTATTTGATTTTGTCATAAATAAATATAATTGGCAATCACTCTCAAGGTTTAAGAGAAAATAGTTGAGAACCTAGAAGAGGCTGAATTCCCCTGCTCTGAGACTTTATTTACCCATTCTTTGATGTTAATAGCCTATTCCTACCTACTTGTTCTTGTGAGATTCACAGATATTGTAAAACTTGAAAAAATGTCTCCTGGACAATCTGGAGAGAGAAACGAGATGATCTATGTGCAAATGCCTTGCACACTGTAGAGTGCTGATATATAAAAAGTAGCATTATGGCTGCTTTTATTGTCTCTATGGCCCAGCATCTAATAACACCTCTGTTGTTTCTCTTCACAAGAACCTGCAGCTTTATTATTATTGCCATTACTTTACTATTTAATTTACCATTGCCTCTGTACTGTATAAACATGACTTAGACTTGTTTCTGAGGCAAACACTTCCTCTAACTTCAAAAAAAGTCAGCAGTATTTCCAAATTGAAACCACTAATTTATAGGAAACAGAAGTGGCATACTAACCAGTAGTAATAGCCTGCTCTTTTTTCCCTTCCCTCTTTATTACCACCATCACTACCACCACCACTACCACCACCATTGCCACAGCCACTTGGGAATGTCACCATTTTTACTGTGAACAGATCAGACAAAACTAATCTTTCAACTACTTCTATTACTCCAAATATTACCAGATCTCTTCAAAGAAAAGGGTCCCTTTCCACTGTGTTCTACATTCCACAGAGGGTCCTTCTATGAAGGTTTACATGGGAGTCTACAGTGATACGGAGTAGCCAGAAAAATAGGGATGATGTTAAGCCCTGCCTTCCTTAGCGCTTCTCAGTTGAGGTCACACAAAAATCCCTGTACCTTTTTAGTTCTTCTCAGTCAAGACAGGTAACAGCCAGGAATACTTAGCAGTTTCAATTCCATTAGTTGAGACGAGTTGGAAATTTAGCTAGAGATGTGGTCTGATATGTGCTGTGCCTGGTGTGTTACAACCTTCTCCATTGTCATATTGGCCCTATCCACACTCACTGGCTTCTAGCTGTTTCTCACCTGATTTCCAATTTTCTAATGGCACCAGAGAAGTGCCCTGGATCATAGGTCAGTTAGTTAAAACCCTGATACCCTGTTTCTGTTCCCTGGATCCTGTTTCTCACGCTCTTACTGGCTAAGGCACTGTTGTAAGTGAATGTCAAGTAGACAACAAGGTCAAGGCCTATTTTATTTTAACACTCATTTCCCTTCCATAATTCCAGCTACCACACTTTACCCACCAGTTGGCGTGCCCTCAGGTACCAACACCTGGCTGTATCAATTATGGGTACCACATACTTCTTTGAACAGTGCATACTGAGCTGCCTGAGATCATACTCAGTTCACAGCCTAACCTACAATTCAGCTTCCCTGCCCCCTTCCCGTTCTGATTCATGCCACTGAGGTCCCAAATATGCCTCATGAACCTGCTTATATTTCATCAAAAACCAGAGGAAAAAATGTTGGCATGCAGAACTTTATCTTTCCTCCCCTTTATCTCTCTTTTAGAATCCCTCCTCCATGTTTTGTTGCTCTCCTCAGCACTCAGGGTCTTTCTTTGCTCCTTAACCATTCACTCTGGGTACTGACCCTCACTCACCAAATTCCCATTGCCCTAGTGGGCAGATTCATATTGCTACAAAGAAAACAATCTGACTAAACAAAATCATAATAGTCATTTGGTCATAGAGACAAAAATGATTGGTCACTTTCAAATAAGGAACTTTTATTTGCATTTTCATTAACTTAAAAGCAGTCACTCTCAACTCTGGCAACACTTTATAAGCACCTGTGAAGCTGTTTAAAATACCTTTGCTGGGGTTCCACCACAGAACCAATTCAACCAGAATCTCTGGAGGTGGCACTCTGGCTCTAGTCATTTCGAAAAACTATCCAATTAATTCTAGCATGCAGCCAGAGTGAGAACCATTGACCTAAAGGAATGAATCTCTAATGAAAGGGAAATAATATGTACATTTGCTACCTCCCTACCTCAAAGGGGTTATGTGTGGTGAGTACTCAATCCTAATTCCTCTCAGTCTGACAGCTCAAAGAGCTTCAGGGTCTGGATTTATTTAACATTTCATAGTAGAGGCCAAAATGTCATTTAAAAGCATACTATTTGGAATGGGTGAGATGTGAAATGCTCATGGAATGTAAACTTGCAAAAGACACTGGGCTTCATAAAGCTTTGTAATGTATTATATAAAGTTATGACACTAAATATGGTTGCTTGTTTTGGGCCTGGCTCCTCCCTGGAAATAGTTTAATATCTTTAAAAAATAATTCTGTGCTCTATTATGAAGTAATTAGAGCAACACTGATTTCTTAACATTATAGGATCTTGTAGACTGGAGCTGGAAGCAGACTACTATAGTTCCTGAAACTAAAAACTCCTCATCCTCCTATAATGATCACAATTAAGGTCCAATACTAGAGACGCTTGAAACTTAAAATGAGTTTCTGGTTATAAACCAGGCCTAAGCTGGACCATTCTCTAACGGGTCCATTGTTATGTTAAGGAAATGACTGGGACCAAGACTAATCCCAGAAGTAATCAGTTTGACAGGTAGTTTCTGGGCTATCTGTCCAAAAGTGGTGAAGGGGCTGCAAAAGGGGAATGAGCACCATTCCCACAAAACACTGCCCCTTCCAGAAGAAGGAAAAGTGGAGATTAAAAAATTAGAGTTGAAAAAAATTGTAACCAAATGTCACAAGGGCTTGATATAAATGTAAGTAAAAGAGATCTGATTCCAGAGGACCAGAGAGGGCCCACCCTCCCAAAATTCACCCACCTTCTTAGTGAGTCAAGTCCTTTGTATCACACTTTGCCTATTATCTCTGCAAGAATGATCTTTGAACATAAAACTTCCCTTGGAAAGGGAAATACGCTAATATTTAGGCTAATATTTAGGCGGTCTTATTTATTGCTTTGATATGCTTTCATTTATCAGCTGGGTGCCCTCCATGTCAATTAGCTGCATGCTGCAGGGAGAAAAGCCGTGCTTTGGATGGAGGGAGGGGAGGCAGAAGGGAGGAGAAAAGACAGGTTCTGAGATGTGATGATACAAGGGTACTGGGCATCTGTTAAGGAAAGTACTCAGAAGAGACTAAAAGGTAAATCTCCCTTCACTGACTACAACAAAACAAAACAAAGAAAACAGCCCTCTTTGGCTAGTCTGAAACCACTGTGGTCCTCAGTACAGAGAGGGTGCGTACTCTTGATGTCATTCTTCCACACCTCGTGCCTAGAGCAAGCACTGGCGCCTAAGGGCATCTGAACCACAAAACTCTTTGTACCTCCATCGAATCCATAAGAGGCTCTGTTGAAACCAGAATCTTGGGTCTAAATGTGTGTGAAAGAGGTAAAATGCATGAAGAACTAGGGAGTTGTGTGCTAGCCTGGGGCATGAGGGCAGAAAACCTTTTGGTGATTGTCATGTTTTTCACTGAAGCCACATTTAAACCTCAGCAAGGAGCAAGTACTCACTGCAAATTCGGTCTGCCTGGTGAATCTGCTGGAGAGCTTTCCGAATGCTTTGGCTGTCTTGTCCTGTAGTCAGGACGACCCCTACAGGTAGGCCATGGCTCCGAAGAGCACTTGAGACTCTATTGGCTGTATTCACCCAAATGTCTTCATCTGAGGAAATGACTCCAGCATGAGCCCACTGGAAATACTTCATGACAGTTACAAGCACCCGGATTGGAGAAGGGAGTACCCGAGAAAAGGTCGGGTAGCTATTTTTATTGTCTAATTCGTAATTCACACAAGCCCAAGAGAAAATCCCTTTGTCCCAGCTGTTTCCCAGGAGGGAGGCTGCCTCACAGTAGCCAGGGTTGGCAGGTCCAATAAATCCTGAGGCCATCTGGTGGTGGGAAATAAAACTGGAGAGGGCCCTCGAAGTCTGGCAGTCTTCATTGAGAATCACATATTCAAAAGAATAACCCCCGTCAAACAAAGGATCCTGGTTGATTCGCTCAATTGCTAATCCAGCAGCAACCTCAGGCAAGGCCTTTGAGAACAACGGATCACAAGCCCAAGGGCCCACCACCCCTATCTTGTAGGGGAATGCCCACACCTGCTGCAGAAGAGACAGAAGGGCCAGGAGGCACATGCACCGCTGGAGCTTGGAAGATGCAAGGCCATGGTGTCCTGACAGTCTGCTGGTAACCACAAACCAGAGCATAAGGCAAGGAAAAAGCCTGGGTCCCAGGAACATAGCCCTCCTGCTTCTAGCAAGCTAATGATGAAATACTGGAGGGTTATTCTGCTCACTTGAGATGGACAGTGGTGTTTCCAAATGCCTGTTAATCAGAGGAAAAGGTTTGTTACTCATAATATTTCTATATAATTACTACATGCTAACCTGTTGCACAACTGGATGTTACCAACAATATTTCTGAAGCTTCTAGAAAAATCACTTATGAAAGAATGCCATTCCCCAAATTGAAAGTTTCCTTCCTCCACCCTGACCAAAACTTTTCCACTTCCTGTACTCCTAATATCAGTAGATTGCACTGCCATCCATTGTTCACCCACTTGCTTCAGTCAGAATTCTGTCTTGGAATTATTGAGACTCCTTTTCTGCTCCCCACATTTAATCAACTACCAAATCCTGTCAATACAACTTTAGTAATAGCTGCCCACCTCATAGTGTTGTGAGGATTACAGTTAACATATGGCAAGTGCTTATAACAGGGCCTGGTTTATCATTTACCTTGTATTAGTCATATTGTTATCATTATTATAGTTTTCAATGTGTCCATTTTTTTTTACCACAGACTGCCCTCCTGGAAAGAGATGAGTATAAACAAATAATGGCAATGTAGAGTAAATAGTACTATGACTAAGGTAGCGCAGACAGAGAAAGAGAGAGAGGATCACCTAAACCCAGATTTGAGGAGAAGAGAGGTGAGAAGAGGAAAATGAGGAAGAAGAAGGGAGAAAGAGGAAGACAAGGGAGGAAGAGGGATGCCTTTCTGAGTATTAAGGAAAAGTTAGCCAGATGAACACAGTTGCAGGTAGGAGTTGCTAAGAGGCTTCCAGGCAAAAAGAACAGTATGAGGAAAGGACCAGAGGTTAAAAATATGTGTATAATGTTAGACTCACAGAATTACAAAGCACTTGTTCTGTTTGGGTCTATTGTATCTGCCAAGAAAAGAGCCAGATCACCAACCTATATGCCACGATTTAATCCTGTAGACAATAATTTTAAGTGAAGAAATAGTATTATCAGAGTTCCATTTTAAAGGATTACTAGAAGCAGTGTGGAGAATGGGTTGGAAGTAGATAAGACTTAAAGCAGGAAGACCAGTTTGGAGACACCATAGTAGTCCATATTATACATCATGACAGACTAAGAGAGTCATAATGAAGATCTAGAGGAATTAAGATGAATTTCTCCAACATTAAAGGAGAAAACCCTGAGATTCCACAATACTTAAAGGTCATTATAAAGGAGGTCATAATAAATACTTACAAGCCCAGGAAAACAGCAAATTCCAGGACATAATGATATTTTACAATCCAAAAATAGATGAAACTTGAGGATGGAGAATGTTTACCAGTATCAAACTCTGCTAAAAAGTCAAGTAAGCTAGAGATAAAAAGGTGTCCATTGAATTTGGACTCAGATTATAAGAATGCAAGTTGATGAATCACAATAAGTAGAAAAATAAATGATAATCCATGAAGTAAAGTCAACAGTGTAAAGAACACTTTCAAGATATATATGCAAAGGCTCTGTCTGTGTAGCACTTGCCGTTCTCTACAACACCATCTCCCACTGTTCTTTCTTCATGCTATTCTAAATTTCATGTAGTTCTTCAGACATATGTCTAATCATCTATCAAGTGTAGAAGTTCAAAAATGCCATTTCTACTGTCTGGAATTCTCTTCTTCCTCCTTCCATGCTCCCCTTCTAGGTTCTCTTGGTGAGCTCTACCTTTAGACCCAATTGAAGTGTCATCTACTTTGTGCTGCCCTATTAACATTCCCAGGTTGAGTTCATTTGTGTTTCCACTTGTGCCTCATACTTAAGTGCATCAGAGAAGGTATCACTGACTACAAATCATCTATATTTCTGTTCTATGTTGTGACAAGGATACAGAATTGTTTGATATCTCTGTACTTATAGGGCTTTATACTTTAACCACAAGGAGTGAGTGACAATGAGGACAACTCTATGGAGAACAGAACCCACTGGACTTTGATCTCCTATTTATAGTCCTAATGCCCCCAGTCAAGGGCTCAACAAATAGCAGGTATCAGAAAAACATTTGTGAAATGAATGAATAACACATTTAAGTTGACCCAAGGTCAGGAATAATCTCAGTAGATAATAAGAATTAATTGCTTGGGAGAGATGTTAATGAGGAAAATACTTTTAAATACTTAATTCTAATCAAATGACAAAATAATGGCATGTCTCTCTTCAGGGTTGATAATCAACACTGGTCAGGCCCAGCTGGCTGTATACTGCCAGCAACAATTATGCCTGTGCTAGCCTTGCTGGATATTATCTTGATCTCACCCCTAATTTTGTGAGAAATCCTGACTATTCAAGAAGCCAACTTGGGGCACACCTGGTGAATCTTAAAGATGCGTCATAACAGTATGCCCAACATTCATACAGAGGTTGGAAGCTGGTTTAAATGAAAATCAAAGACTTGGGGAAGGAGGCATCTTACAAAATAAAATGAACCAGAGATTGAGGGGTGTGTAAACTAGAAGGAGGGGAACTTCCAATTTTGCTATGAGAGTAGTGTAAAGATACTTCTGGGCTGATTATATGCACAAAGACCTCAAATTTATTTCTAGACCCTCAAAGATAATATAGTTCAACCTCTCTCCCCCAAAATAGATTTGGTCCGTGTGTTATGTTGAAGGCATGCAGGAGAGATAAAGATGAAGTGTAAGGTGTGGACTACAAGCTGAGCTCTAGTCAAGAGCCACATGCTTCTCTTCTCACCTTCCTCCAGCCCCAAGCTTTTCTCTGTCACAGCAAAATTTGGGAGCCAGGTCACTCTAGGAGCAACTCCTTCTCTGGTGTAGCATGGGAGAGGTCCCTGTTTTCAGTTTGTATTGTGACAAGAATATTGAACTATATGATCTCTTTGTCCTGACAGGATCTCACTCTTTCGACCAGTAAGAGTGGGCAACAATGAGGACAACTTTATATGGGCAACAGAGACCTATTCACAAGACACAGTATTCTATATAAAGCTAAACCTAGTTTTCAAGAATGGAAGTTTTGAGAGTACATCCTCCAATTCTCAATTTTCTCATTTGCAAAATGGAAGTAAATTAACTTAATCCTTTTGACAAAAGGGATTAAAGAAGTTATAATGCTACGCACACAGTTGTTTTTCAATAAATACTGGTTCTTTCTTGCTGTTTGGAAATTAGATTGCATTGGGAATCAAAATGCCAGGGTCTGAATCCAGCTCTGCTCCTGCCTTACCATGCAACATTCAACAAATCACTGCCAGCTACTCTGGATCTTTCTTTTTTCCCCCCAAACTCAACTATAGGATCTGCACATCCCTTTTTTCTCTGACATACATTGATCCTGGACTTCTCTACTTCTTCCAGGCGGTTATTTTTCCAAACCTCTGCACTGTTAAACTGTTTTCTGAGTTCATTCAACATTCCCCAGCCTTCCTTCTCTAATTAGCTTCTTTCTGGAGTTAGAAACTCCCAAAGTGGTTTCCACTTACTTCTGTCTGGCAGCTCCAGTTTCTGAGTGTTTTTAATTTTGACCTACAATTCTCTATCAAGTGTCTATGACGTGAAGCTCACTCTCTTTCAATGCTGGAGTTATGCTATGCTGAAATCCTGAGATACCTAAAGCCATTAGTTATCATCATTATTCATCAACAACACACACTGAGAACATGGTCTGCACTAGGAAAGTAACTAACAATAAAGGAGGGAAATATGGAGATCTTGTCAAGAAATCTCACCAGGAAAAGAAATCATGTACATGAGCAGGAAGAGGAAAATAATGTAGGCTTGTATATAAGGCCAGCTTTGTAAGAATCCTGTTTGCTTTTACACGTGATTGTATCTCCAGTAACTTGCACTGTTCCTGACACATGGTAAATGCTCAATAAATACTTGTCAAATAAATAGTAAAGAGAAGACATGGAGCACAAAAGAAATATTTTATGTTACTATGTTCTTGAAAAGGCTCTACTTTTAAGCCTTGATCAAGACCTACCTTTGGCAAAATTATCTAATAGATAAAGTTTGCCTTCAGAGTTCTAGCCCAGTTCTTTCTGCCCTCTCTTAGTAACAAAGAGAAAAATAACTCTAGAGAAAAGTCTCTAAATAATTTGTACTGACATGTTAATGAATGATGATAGCCCTCTTCAACCAGTGGTGTTTGTTTTCAATAGGAATGGGGACATGTTCATGCCAAAAAATTAATTCCTAATATTGTAGTAATTTCAAACACCTGTTGCAGGTAAGCAAAGAGAGATGAACCACTTTTTTGAGTAGAAAAATGAGAGAACTTCTAGAATCCCTCAGATCAAAGTGATTAGCTGTCTATTCTAGTATAAGCCTAGTATTTTAATGTTATAATCCAAGTCATTCCTCCTAAACACAGTGTCTCACCTATCTCAAATTCTAAAAAGTTTCTTTTTTTTTTAAAAGCATTTTCCAAGTTTAAACATTTACAACATAGGTCCTTACTCAAGCCACATGGCAGAAAGTGCCCCTTGCCATTCATTTTCAGATGTTGCCTTTTTCCTTTGTTAACTACAAAATAAAGAATCCCCAAGCTGAAGGTTTTCCCTTGGACTCTTTCTGGCATGTATGTCATGCATGAAGTGGTATTTCTAACTCTACTAGTGCTCCCTGGAGAACCAGAAAGTTCTGTTGCTGTAGGATTTAGTCTTGATCCCCTATTCCAATATTTTACAGAAGGAAACATTAAATTAGGAAAGAAGGAAGGAAGGAAGGAAAGAAGGAAAGACGGGAGGAAGGGAGGGATGAAGAGGGGAACAGGGGAGGACGGAAAGGAAAAAAGAGAGGTAGTGAGGAAGGATGCTCTAAGCCTTCACCTCCTGGTTTGGATTTAAAGACAAAATTATTAGCTCTTATGTAAAGGACATTGTCCATTGCCTTCAAAACAAGCCACTGAAGGCTTCCCTGATGGGAAACATGGACCTAACTAAAATAAAATCTGAAGGTACAAAGTTTTGGAAATAGAAAACTATTGACCCACAGTTATTCTGGGGCTATTGCCTAGGTCACTCAGGTATGAACACCTGCATGGGATCAGGCTTCCATGGGAAGTGGCTAGCGCCCAGGGATGCATCATTTCATTTCAGGTAGCTTTCACAATCTGGTGGAAAGCCTGATTTCACAAGGAAAACACTGTTCTTTAAACATATACCAAGAAAGACTATGACAAATAGCTCTGAGGAAAATGGCTCCTCATCCAAGCTTGTCAAGCTGAGGACTTCTATGGATGATTCATCTTTGCTGTTACAGCCTGAATCAAGTTAATAGCTTGTATAAGACAACATCAGGAAGAAATAAAAAAGAATCATGACAGAAACTAAATGCAAGCTTGGAGGAGAGCCTTTAAACCCAAATCTTGATTTAAAACTGTCTCAAAGGCTCTTTCTTCCTCTTTCCTTCTTTCTCTTTCATTCTTTAATTTTTTTAAGAACTACATGTTATAGTAAAACTAACGTATCTCAGGCAGAGTCTGAGCTCACAAGTGAGCTGTGTTTTCCCCCATTACAATCTTTCTTATAAACAAGAGCTGTCAACTACTCACCATGTAACTCACCACTCAAATGTCTTCGATTTACTGCCTACGCATGCATATCTCTGGCATAGCTAACTCAATGTGTCCATTTCCAACATCCTCTACACAGTTATAATCCTGCTAAGGACTCCAGTCTGTTGATAAATTCCATTAAAGGAGTAAATAATTGAGAAGGCAAGTAAGCATTTTTAAAAATCACTCTTCAGCATCCCAAGACCTGGATTAGGATTTAGAGTGACACTTCTAATCCTTTAAATTGATCCCACCTGTAGCCGAGTTAGGGCTGACCTAAATGCATTGACCCAGAGATTAACGAACAATTAGAGTCCTCTGGATAAATGTGTCCTCAACAGATAACTGCCATCTACTACCTTTCAAATCAGACTCACAGTCTCAGATTTTGCCTCTGTCTTCTTCCGTTTTCCCTTTTGTCTAATAACTACAAATTACCCTTTCTCCAGGACAACTTTAAATTCTACAACATTATCAGCTATGATTCCAGCCCAGGATATGAAGGATGATCTAGGCTGGCTTCCTGCAAAATTCAAAGTAGGTGAAGTTTCTCTCCTTCTTCTATTCCCCTTAAATACCTGTACATCCTTTCCTTCCAAGAGGGAGCTCCAGCTTCCCCACATACTTCTGCACAAATAAGTCCTCCGACCCCAAGACTTTAAATTTATCCCTTTTCCCTCAGTTTCTCCGAGTCCTTGGCACCATTCATTCAAGACTCTGTTCTGGAATCCTGAAGTTAAGAGCTGAGATGTTAATGGCTAAAAGGGACTTCTATTAAGTAAAAGTTACTATATGACAGACATTTTTATAATAGCTTTCATCGAGATATAATTATCTTACCATATTTACCATTTTAACACATACAATTAAGGGATTGTTAGTATATTCACAAGGTTGTGAAACCATTACCATTTTCCCATTCCAGAACATTTTCATTATCCTCACAAAGAAAATCTGTGCCTGATTAAAATTCACTCTCCATTTCCCTCTTTTCCTAGCCCCAGATAATCACTAACCTACTATCTCTAAGAATTTGCCTATTCTATAAATGGCATCATTTAATATGTGGTCTTTTGTGACTGGTTTCTTTCAATTAGTATAATATTTTCAAGATGTGTTATGTTAAATCATGCATCAGTATGTCATTCCTCTTTATGGCCAAATAATATTCCACTTCATTGGATACTCCATATTTTGTTTATTTATTAGTTGATGGACCTTCCATTTGAGCTATTGTGAATACTTCTGTTCATGTAAATTTTTTGTGTGAACATACTGTTTCCATTTCTCTTGTATATACACATAGGGAATTATTGGAAATACGGTAACTCTCCATTTACAAGTTATAGAACTGGAAAACTGTTTTCCACAGTCTCTGCACCATTTTATATTCCTGTCAGCAATACACAAGTGTTCTTATTTCTCCAAATTCTTGCTAACAGTTGATATTATCTCTTTTTATTTTCATTTGGTGGGCATTTTATATATTCATTATCTCATTTTATATCCATTACAACCACAAAGGTAGATATTATTACCCATTTTATAAATGAGAATACTAAGACTTGAAATGATGAGGTGATAATATTTGAGTGCTGATGATGTTACAGGTGTTTTTGAAGACCTGTCTTCTGTGATACTCACAGTGAGTCCATATTATAAGAATTTCCAAAAGTCCAAAGAGGTTAGAGTAATTTACCCAAAGTCACTCTGACACTAGTCAGTGGAGCCATAATTTGAAACCAATCTGATTCCAGTAACTACTGGTGTCAGAATTCAAACCCAAGGCTATTTGGATCCAACAAAGCCCAGGCTTATCCTTGTTACATCCTACTAATATACCTCTGATGTTATCACTTTAACAGAGTCTCCAGGAAGACACAATGACTACCCAAAGAAAACAACCCCTAATTTTAGAATCTCACGTGACCCGATGGAAGTATGGGTGAAGGCACTCCTAGCCTTTTCTATCTACTGGTGCATGGTGCCATGAGTGAACTTTAGCAGGTATTTCCCAAGAAGGTTCTAATGAGGATTAAGATGCTTAGCAGGGCATAATTCAAGGAATGTTCTCCAAATCCTAAATAGACAGGAGATTCCAAATTTATAGGTGGGAGTAGCTGGTAATTATCATATTAATAAAATTACTAAAGTGGATTTGTTTGATTTGATTTAGAGTTCCACAAGTACCTGATTCCAAGTGTTGACAATAGTTAGCAATGTTTGAGAGTTTATTATGTGCTAGACATTGCTCTATGGACTTTGCATATATTAATACATTGAATCATCACAATGGTTCTCTAGGGCAGGTATTATTATCATCTACACTTTATAGATAAAGAAACCGAGGCACAGAAATTAAATAACTTGCACAAGGTCACACAGCTAATATGTGATAGAGCCATGCCATGAAAAAAAAGTGGCATAGCTTTGAAGTCAAGGCTTTTATCTACTGTCTCTTAAAAAAATCACATTATGGGGCCTATTGGATTTATCCAATTGCTCAAAAACTTCCATTGAATCTCTAAGTTTTAGTTGTAGTGTAAAATGATGATTTTGGAACAAAAATTCAAAACCATTTGAAGTCCTTGTGAGTTTAAAAATATATGGCTTTGCCAATAAGGACAAACTTAGGGAACATTCATACAGACCTTTTAGAAACACTGTATCAGAAACATCAACTGCACTGTCGGGTTAAGTATTGTTCTCAGTGTTCTTATTGACCTGTAGCATCACAATGGCCATAGGATTCTATTAGGTTTTATTGAAATTCATATCAGTTTATGTACTATGTTCCTGATATCAAAGCCTAACAATTTATAGAATTCAAGCATCTCTGGATAATTGATTATTACTTCCTAAGAAGCTATGGAATGAAAGAATTCAAAATGGCACTCTCTGCCTCCACAAAACTGTAAAGCAGATGCATCACTCCAGTGTCCCTCTTTTTTTTCTTTTTTTTTTTTTTTGCGGTACTGGGGTTTGAACTCAGAGCCTACACCTTAAGCCACTCCACCAGCCCTTTTTTGTGAAGGGTTTTTTATTTTCCTGGGTCTGGCTTTGAACCACAATCCTCCTGATCTCTGCCTTCTGAGTAGCTAGGATTACAGGAGTGAGCCACCGGCACCCAGCTTCCAGTATCCCTCTTAACCTTAGTTGCAAAGACAAAAACACAGTAGCTTTACATTTCATGATGTATTATACTACTAAATAACTACAGAGAAACCCAGTTATGTACATCATAGTAAAATTGCAAAGGCCTTATGTGTCATTAACCTGATCCTTGTATTTTCTTCTGAGACTGAGGTGTAAGGATGAGACATGGGTTGAGAATGATGCTTTCCTACTTGATCATCCAGAACAAGTATTGGACAAATAGTTCCTTACAGTGAGGAAGTCATGTGAGAACCTGGAGAGCAAGGGAGGTGGGAGAAAACAAGTGAGAATTAATTTAGAAGGTAACACACATGTACAGGAAAGCAATGCAAGTCAACTCCCTGTATAGCTATCCTTGTCTCAACTAGCAAAAACCCTTGTTCCTTCCTATTATTGCTTATACTCTCTCTTCAAAAAAATTAGAGATAAGGGCAAAATAGTTTCTGCCTGGTAGCGAGGGGGTAGAGGGGGAGAGGGAGGGGGTGGGAGGAAGCGGGGAGAAATGACACAAACATATTAATAAAAGAAAAAAAATTTTTTTAAGTTTTCAATTTAAAAAAAAAAGAGTGAAAGAGAAAAATCACAAGAGAAGACGTTAGGCAAATTTCCACATCTTGTCTATTCCAGTGAGGGCCCTTACCTGCAATTCTCAACCTTCTTTTAAGTGTTTCATCTAGCCCTATTCCACTGAAATTTCTTTTGCTAATTCACTAGTAACAACAAAGTTCCCTCTCTACTTATGCTCAACAAGAGCTATACTGGTTCTTAGAAGTAGAATAGTTTGGGTAACAGACAATATAATTATTCAGCACCTCCTTTCAACTGGCATTGCAAGTATGTTATTTACTTTATTTCTCACAGCAACCCTAAGAGATAGGGACATTTGTAATCCTCACTTTACATACAGAGAAAAACATAAAGCCCACAGAAGTTGTGTTACTTGGCCACAGTTACACAGCTGGTAAATGGCATAGCCATGACTCAAATTCAGGCAGCATGGTTCCAGAATCTGGCACTTAATAACTTTGCTATTTTGCTTCAGGTTGCAAAGAAACTATTAGAGGTTACATATATAAAGCATTATATAATATTACATAATATATACAAGTTCATTTACATAGATAGTTACACACAATATGTATTATTTTGCTTGCATATACATACGTATGTATTTGTGGTACTATAATGGGCTTACTTTTTGGCAGTTTTAAGTAGACAGGTGGAATATTGATGCAGTTTTCTGCTATATTCAGCCCAGAAAACTTCACCAAAATAAAGCTCAGTGCTGCCCTCTGGTAGTCAACTCCAAAACTGAAGTTAAAGCCGAGGCTATAATGACCCCACATAGCCACATGATGTCACTATTGTACCATTATGTATTATCAAATTTCTCTAGGATAAATTTTTTATATTTTTGTATTGTTTATTCACTTATTCATATGTCTATACGTTGTTTGGGCCATCTCTCCCCGCTAGCCTCCCGCCCCCTCCCCCTCCTCCCCACTCCTCTCACTTCCAGGCAGAACTTGTTCTGCCCTCTTCTCCAATTTTGTTGAAAACATAAGTGATAATAAGAAAGACAGCGTTTTTGCTAGTTTGAGACAAGGATAGCTATACAGAGATTCCCAGCAGGTGCTTCCATGCACATGTGTATTACAACCCACATTGGTTCATCTCTACCAGACCTCTCACTACTTCCCAGTCACCTTCCCAGAGTGGCCTCTGCCAGTTGAAGATTACTTTATTAGCTTGTCTGCAGAGAGCACATCAAACACTTCCAAGTTTTGGGTTTCCTACTTTTCCCTATTCCTCCTGTACGCGTTCTCCCCTTAGCGTGTGACCCATGTCTAATAATATTACTGCAATTGTTTTATGCCTAAAGTCCACATATGAGGGAGAACATGAGATTTTTGGCCTTCTGAGCCTGCCTAACTTTGCTTAAAATGATGCTCTCCAGTTCCATCCATTTACTTGAGAATGACAAAATTCCATTGTATATGGATTAGGATAAATTTCTTAAGATTAATACAAGTGTTGC